AATCGCGCTAAGAGGGCTGGCCAGAAAAAGCACAGGGATCTGACTGTTCCTAACTCGCCAAAGCTAAAATTACAGGCACTTGCCACCATGCTTAGCTTTTTATGTGTTTGCATGCTTGTACAGCAAGTATTTCCCAACTGAGCCAGAGCTGGGTCCTCAGTCCCTAAAGCACACATTTCAATGCTAATTTGCTGCAATAGCTGCAATCGCATTTCACCATGGATAAAGAAACTCAATGCTCCTAGTTAGCAGCAGTACATAAATGACAGCAAGGTGGTGGCAGCACCTGACCACCAGGTAGCTAGTTCCTTCCGTTTTAAGGTAAACACTGAACACTATATAATTTTACTACCAGCTGCTTAAAATAGCAGCACAAGAAAGAGGCCTTTAAAGCTGGGATATAAACCCCACCTCTCGTTTTATGACAGAGTAAATAAGTCCCCGGGTTTCTATGACTTCCAGAAGAGCAAGTCGGAGAAGCCACTAGAACAGGTGTCCTGGAAAGCCCAGAGGGTTTCCCCTGGCCATCCTCGGGCGGGGGGTGTGAGCCAACGGTACGCTTACTCCCTGGCTACTAGGAGAAGCCTTTAATCCAGGGTGTTTGTGACACAAGGCTAAATCCCTTTAGAAAAACACGGCGATTGGTACTTGATCCCTTACCCAGTTCGTCAGGGCTGCAGATTTTCATTATTGCCTTCCTTAATGTGAAACTTAGCAGTTTTGAACCAGAAACATTTAGCTTAAGGATCAACAGTCATGTTCTCTCCCCCCAGAGATAAAGGGTCATCTTCCTAGGATCATATTATTTCATGGGGCTCGGCCAAAAACCTCTGGCATGATGATCGTGAGCCCACTGTTTTACCTGTAGCCTGATTCAGTTAGATCCCTTGCTTGGCATACCCATAGGGACTGCTTGTCTTTGGCCCGCAGTGTTTTTGCTCTTCCAGTACAAATGCCCAACTGCCTCTGCTAAGGTCAGGCGCACAGAGTTTCCTCACGTTCCTCTATCAGAGATGAGCTGCGGCTCCATGCATGTGTTAGGTCCTCTGAGCTCTGAATCTTCAGGGGTTGCTGAAATTCTCCCAGCGCCTCTTGGAGTTCCCCTTCTCCGCACTGCTGAGCCTCCTCGGAATGCTCATGCTATGACTCAAAGCAAAGGTGAGAAAGGGCAGAGCCAAGGCAACAAGGGCAGTGCTGCCCCAGAGCAGCCAGCATGGCAGCAAGTTTGCAGCGAGTTCCATTGTCGGTTCTAGAAACGTGCGCTTGTAAGTTGACGTTCTAATGACCCCACTTTGTACTTGCTATTGAGATAAATTTATCCCCCTTAAAACATTGAAAATTGAATATAGTTCTTATAAAACATTTCACGAAAAGACTTACAAATCAGTTCCTATTCTGACTGCTTATTCTAATTGTGGGAAAGTTCATTGAGTTGTTAGCCTCGAGCATGGCTTTGGGTCTGGTTAATTTTTGTGTGTGGTATTTTCTTTTTCCAAGACTTTTTTTTTTGAATAATAAAAACTTTATAAAAAAATTAAAAAAATCAGCTTAGTATACCTACCAAGCTAGCATTTTGTGTGCTGTCTTTCAGTATGGCTCAAACGCCTTAGGAAAAAGAGCATTTTTTGTTTCCACTGAAGGTCCCTCGTCCCTGGATATTCATGCCCATTCACTTACCTTCTTCTCGCTCACTTTTTTCTTTTCTTTTCTTTTTTATTTTTATTTATTTATTTATTTATTTATTTATTTTGGTTTTTAGAGACAGGGTTTCTCTGTAGCATTGGTGCCTATCCCGGAACTAGCTCTTGTAGACCAGGCTGGCCTTGAACTCCCAGAGATCTGCCTGCCTCTGCCTCCCGAGTGCTGGGATTAAAAGCATGCGCCACCACCGCCCAGCCTCACTTTTTTCTTGACACTCTTTCTGATCATTGTTTGATCTGTTTCAAAGCATCAATATGATCTTCTGTGCATCTCAAGAAACTATTTCTGATGAGGCATGGGCCAATGTCCCCACCCACTACTAGTTTTACAACTTTCTTCTGTAGCAGACAATGAGGAATACTGAGAACTCAAGAACAATGGCAGTGGGTTTTTGATCCTACTGCACGTACTGGCTTTGGGGGAGCCTAGGCAGTTTGGATGCTCACCTTACTAGACCTGGATAGAGGTGGGCGGTCTTTGGACTTCCCACAGGTCAGGGAACCCTGATTGCTCTTCGAGCAGATGAGGGATGGGGACTTGATCGGGGGAGGGGGAGGGAAATGGGAGGCGGTGGAGGGGAGGAGGCAGAAATCCTTAATAAATAAATAAATTAAAAAAAAAGAAATATAAGCTTCATTGTGTAGGCTACATACTAAAAAAAAAAAAAAAAAAAACTGGGCAGGACCCAAGGTGCTAACCTCACCTAGTGTCTCAAAATAAAGCCTTAAAAAGCAAGCAAACAAACAAAAAACCCCAAACTGCCCATATGCTGATGCTGAACGTGAGCATACCCCTGTATACCCAGAGCAGAGTCCCAGCCAGGGCTTTTGAAGTGAAAGCCAGAGTTGGGTGAGAAGCAGGACAAACACAAAGGGACAGCCAGAGGACCTGAAATGTGAGTCACTGCTCAGTCACCAGCTTTGCAGCGAGACTCACCCGGGCAAAACTATCCATGTAATTGTCATGGTTACAAGACTGTTTACGGAACACACCCCTGGGCTTTTGTGTCTCCTTTCACATCACTTGGAAGGCACAGTCGTCAATTTTCTATACTGGTTTCCAAATTTGGGAGTGAAATTTCACTTACAAAGACATTTAAAGCAAACCAAAATGTCTAGGTTAATGAACTACAAAGTCATTCTGGAGCAATGTCCTGTTGTTTACCCTAAGGGTGCAAGGTTTAAGAAGTGTTGGAAGTCTGTACGGATTCTAGGAATGTAATGTAATTTGCCTGCCAGGCACAAAAATCCCAGAAAGACACTTGGTGAGATTATCTTATCTTACTCATGATCTTATTATCCCACCAATTTTGTGTGGTTTCAGATTCCCCTGACTTGGGATTAAATCAGTGTGTCCTTCCTGATGCATAATTCAGGAGCCCCTGAGAACGATGGAATTACAAACCTCAGTGGCAGACTGTGAATTGCACTCAGTGTCATAACTGCCTGGAGCAGGGCTTCCTTTCAGAATGGCGGGGTAAGGATGTCGTGTTCTTAAGTCCTACGCTCTGGGCCTGCGATTGGATAGCCATACAGTTACAGAGTTGGACGGGATCCAACACCACACACGGAAGCTGGGAAAATGCCAGCGCTTTTGTAGATTTAGAGGAATTCTGAAGGAGAAGCAGAAGGGTTCTTCTTTTTTTGAAATAATTTTTAAGACCTATTTATTTATGTATATGGGTGTTTTGTCTGAATGCAGATCTGCACCCCAGAAGAGGGCATCAGATCCCATTGGGCCACAGTGATAGATGGTTGCGAGTTGACGTGTGGACTGGGATTTGAATTCAGGAGCTCTGGAAGAGCAGCCAGTGTACTCTTAACCACGGAGCCATCGCTCCAGGCCTGAAACTATAATGCAGTTGATGAAAGCGCAAGGAGAAGACTTTTGAATTGTTCAAGCGCAGACCCAAGTGTACAGAGGAGAATGGTCTTGACTTGCGGTCTTGCTGAGGGCAGAAGACATTTTGCATAGATGCCTATTCTAGTTTTTATTTCCCACGAGCTGAAACTGAGTTGTCTTGTGAAGTTTCTCCAGAACCTCCCTCCTCAACATCTAACTGCTCACTCCAGTCCACATGCCCCATCACCTACACAATCTTGCGTTTATTTTGATTTATCAACTCTCCTTCATTTGAATCTAGACATAGGAAGTCCATTTAAAACCATGGGAGATCTTCCTCATCCAAGAAGCCTTCCCGCCAGAGATACTGGCCACAAGCTTTCTGGTCCTAAATGCACTTTGAAAGTTTTGTCGTGCTTACAAACATTATAAAACAACAATAAGAGGGAAAATGCATTCTCCACCCCCCCCCCATTCTAATGCAAGGTATTTGTAATCACCAGGGCAGTAGCCTCCAGGATTTTCCTTTGGAGGAAGGTCTTAGGTATGTAGAAACTGAGGTATCACATCATTAACTCCATTATGTACATTTGAGCCCAGTCTCGCCATTCATGTCAATGCGTGTTAGCCATCCTCATCAAATATCTCTGTGAGATGTCTTTAGCTAGCCAACGTTCTTTTACCATTTCATAAATAAATAATTCAATAACAACAGCACCCCAGGCTTCACATATAAAAGATGGAGCCTCTCCACCTGTTTCCTTGTTACTGACTAAAAAAAGGACAGCCCTTCTGGTGAGGGTGATGTCTCTGCATTTGATGGGGATTGTGCAGGAAAGAATTCTTGGTGCCTCCCTCTAGGGTACCAAACTCTAGCAATTTGCTGAAAGCAGGGGCTATTCACTTCCTCCTCTGCTGGAAGTTCATAATAAGAACAAACAGGTAGATTTTGTTTTATTTTGTTTTTAAGAATCTTTGGCTTGACAGATCAAAGACCTTGAAACTAGATGAATGTGGACTCGGGCTAAATGACACAGGCTTTGAAGCAACAGGTGGGGGAGGCAGCGCTGCACAAAGTGAATGAGCTCAGCCCATGCGTTAAAATGTTTTTGGACAATTCCTGCGGGGCTCACAATGGGTACCGAAAAGGACGCATTATTGGCTTTGTGAGTTACTCTGTGGAAAGGCACCGAAGGAACAGGAGAGTTTAGGTAGCATGAACTGGTCCCTCCCTTCTATTGAATTTGGTTGGCAAATTGAAATATCTGGCAAACTGGTTCCAGCTGGGTGTTGCCGGTTTCTCGAAAAGTTCTTGGGCCAGCAACTTTCCAACAGTAGCTGTGTGGCCAATAATTAACCTTGTCACTTGGGGACCCTGCAGGCCTGTTTCTCAGCAGGACGAGCTTCAGAGTTAGAATAGGAAAAAACACAAAGTCACCTTAAGTCTTACAGTTCAACAGTTTTAATAGTGCACAATAAACCGGCATACAGCTTTGCGGTCCTCATTTAAAACAACTTTCTGAATGCTTCTAAACTGGGGGGGGGGGGGAGGGGGGACTTCCATCCCTTAACATAAGAATAAATCTAGGGTAGTACCCTAAAGTTTCTCAGTCATTATAAACAGTACTGTAATTTGCTCTCCAGAGTCCCTGGCAAGGGCATGGCTTCCTCATTTGGGAAGTCAAAGAGATGATCACATACTCGTTGCCTCTGAAAGAGCCATTCAGCCTTTGCATTCCCACAGGTGACAGGAACAACAGCAATGCCTCAGAACAACTTTTTAAAAAAGCCAACTTCCTCAGAAGCAACTGTCTACCCTCCCCACAAATAATACTTACTCATCTTTGAGTCACGGACTATTGAAGACTCAGCTGACACTTCATTTTCTAGAAAAAAAATTAAATCTTTGAAGACTTTTGTCCCCCTGAATATTCTGAAGTTGAGTAAGACATCAAGGACCAGGATTCGGGTAATAGTGTTTTTCTCTCCTCAGAGAGAGACAGTCCTGGAAGCTTGCTCAGGCTATTGCTTGTTTTCCTGGGGGTCATCTGGAAAATCAGCCTCCTCTTCGGGGGACCTGTCTCCTTCGGGAAGCAGTGTGGCACGCACTTTCCTCTTCTCCTTAAATCGGCCAGAGCGTGAGATCTTCAAATTACGCCGGCTGTTACCTGATTTCTCCTCACCCAATTTATCTGACCCGGGGGGCTCTCCCGTGTCCACAAGGACATCGGAGTGCTGGTTCTCTCCAGAGCTGCTAGTCCGATCCAAGTAAGGCCGTGTGTGATCCTCCGCCTCTGGCTGAACATGAGGCTGTGCTCCCACGGTGACTTCTTTGCTTTTCTTCCTGGTTAGAGATTTCCACCAGGGGCTGGAGTTGCTGGTGGAGCCGCCACTGTCCGCCATGGTCCACACGCTTGGGGACCACGCTCGCCCCGCGTGGGGAAGGGCCTGGGCCAGGACGTCCCTCCCACGACTTGGTGGTCTCAAGATAGTTCACTGCAGCCTTCCGAAGGATTCTTCCACGCTGGCAAGCTGCCTGGTGGGAATCTAGGTGCGCCCTGCACAGGGAGGAAAACAAAACTTGAGTTGGTCAAATAACAGGCTCCCCATTCCCCTTTCCTATGAGTTGGGGTTCCAAGCCATGGCGCTGCAGCAGGCACGGTGAACCCAGTGACCTCCAGCGGGATACCGCCTGACCTACAAAATCTCCTCAACCTTTGCTTTAGCTCCCAAGTAAGTGCAGTAGCCACCCAGTGGAGGGCCTGACCATCTTCATTAACCTGGCTCTGAAAGGATTATGGTCTGGCCTGCCACTCTGCCTGACTGTAGAACCACTATAGGTGCCCACCTGCCTTTGAACCCCTTTTCTTCAATAGAGCAACGGGGGGGGGGGGGTTGATGCAGGAACGGGGTTGGGCCACCTAGCAGGTTGCCAATTACAGGTGAACAATGAAGATAGCTCAAACAGACCCAAATTTCTCTAAAACCTTTTCCTACGATGTTGAAAGATGATGCTTGGGAGTGTATCCAAGTGAGAAAGCCAGACGGCCAAGCATATTGTTGTGTTTACACCAAACTGCTTCAAACCACTTCTGCCTTGTGACTTTCAGAGGCCGTCTAGACTTAACTTCCTTTGAAAACCGCCATCCTACTCTTCCTTTTACTCCCTAGAGGCCAATATCGGGATGGTAGGAAGGCCGCGAGCCCAAGCCTGTCTTCCCTTAGCTCTCCAACTCTCAAGCGTTTTAGTTATAAACTAAAGAATTCTGGTACTTTCTCTTGCGCGATTCCATCCTCCAAAGGAGAGAGCGCAACCAGAACTCCAGAAAAACATCCTTCTTCTCCCAGTGAATAACGGGTCCCCCAAACCTCTAATACTGCAAGCCAGACCACTGGCACCCTTTCCGAGAGCCTGCAACTGGACACGACCACCGAGAGTGGGCAGGGCTCTGGAGCACCGCCCATTTCTAGATTTCGGTTCCAAGCTCCGCATCCTACGCGCTGCGGCTAGCTCCGAGGATTCGAGAGTGCTCAAAAGAGGGAATCTAATCTTGGGCTGCCCGTTTGCTGTTGCAGGTTCTCCCGGAACTGCCCAGAGGGAGGAAGTCTCTGCGCCTACAGGAGACAGTGCCAGCCACTGGCACTATCTCCTCCCCAGGATGCCCCAACTCGAAAGCAGAAACGGCCCCAAATTCATTCCCTATGAACGGCGCCTACACCTTCAGTCATCGTCTGCAGTGCGGTTTGCAAACATCCTACTCCCTCCTTCCTCGCAGACTGGAAAAACAAACCCTTGCCCCCAAGGCATTTATTAATGGTGGCAATGGTCCGCCACTACGCTGTGGTCCTCCACCCGACACTTTCTTCTCCACAGAGATCAACTTGGTGTGCAGGGAAAGACTTTGTGAGCATTGCCCAAGGAAAAGATGACAAATAGTGTAAAAGTAGGCTGAGCACTGTACTGGGGTCTTCTCCTCTGGCAGCAGGAGGAGGGGCACCGCCAGGCGTGGGGCAGCCTTCCCGAGGGGCGTCGCAGCTCCACGGTGCAGAGGGACTCTGGTTCGCTCACCTGCAGGGGCTTTCAGGGTCACCAAGGGACGTCTAGGGGCTGCCTGAAGCTTAGGCGCTGTGCCGGTTGGCGAGGAATCGTTCTTGCTGGTCTGGCCCAACACCTTTGATTCCCGCACTCTGCGGGGACAACCCAGGGCTGGCAGCACGGTCCGCTTAGGTCGCAGGGGCTGTCAAATCCGCTGCCCCAGGGCAAGCCCAGAGCTTTTCCTGGTGGGAGTCTCACATTCTGGGGCGCGTCCCTTTTCCCTGCTTGCACTGTTCCCGGGCCGCTCAGAGATGGAACCTCGGCCGCCGACTCCTGCGCACTCGCTCTTCCTGAGCGTCCGTAGGAACGCACCGAAACATCTGCCCACCTGCTGGTGGCCGGCCAAAGGACTGAAGACGCCAGAACCGCGGAGGCGGGGAGGGTCAGGGTGGGACAGGAGGCGGCCACCCAGCTACAGGTGCAGGTAGGCGCAGGAGTTCCCGCCCTCCTAAGGACCAGATTGGACGAGGTCGCATACGTGACTTCAGCCTTGAGGACTCTGATTGGAGAAAAAGCTGTACTGAGCCGCGCCCTGTCCGTGTTCCGTTCTCGCTCTACGGTTTGAGTCTCAGGCTGTTAAGTTTTCTAATTCCAAGCGCTGATTCAAACTCGGACATGTTGGAGAGTTTCAAACGCTCTCAGTTAAAAGGCTGAATGTTACGAAACATGTCCTTGCTGTCATTGGGCGCTATTCCTAGTACCGAGTAGATTCAACCTCTTGTTCATCACAGCACCCCAGGACTGGGCACTGTGACCCTCTCCAGGCCTGCAAGGAAACTTTGGCACGGGAAGGTTAAACAGTTGCCCAGGACTGCTTGCTGAAGCGGAAAGGAGCAGGGTTGGAGTTTTGACTCTAGCTTAACCGCCACGTGATAGCAGCCTGTCGGTCCTGGTTCTTACCATGGTACTATCATTCAGGGTTGAGTGTCCATCGAACCGACAGCTTCCCGAAATATAATTCCAGCCCCGAGCCACCGCGAGAAAGAGGCAGTGGGTGGGCTCCATCACTGCGCAGGGCGCTTCAGCTAGGTGATTATTTGACTACAGTATTTGAGGAGACATTTTTTTTTTCTAATGAAAGAGAAGCTACAATTTGCTCCACCGCCTTGCAGGATGTCTTGAAAGAGCGATTCTTGGGCTCTCCGAGCTCACTGACATACAAGTAGGACTCCCGGCCTTTAAGATATGCAGTCCACACAGAACACTTTCTGCAGAGGAAACCTGGTGGGAGACAGGACACCTACTCAACTCCCTCGCAATGTAGATTTGATAGGCAGGAATTTCACAGAGCCTTTCAATACACCAAGGAGGAGCAAAATACAAGGACTCTGTTGATGCCTTAGTTTGGTTTAAATAAAAAAAATACAAGGAACACAGCTCTGTGTATTTGAACAGTGATTTGTTTCTTACCAGAGATTAATAACTCCCCTTCCCTCTCTCCAAGCCTCCCTTCTTTTCTCCTTTCTTCCTTTCTTTATTGACGTCATTTCAGTATGTAAGGGAGACTGGCCTCAAACTCTGGCACACCACCAAACCTGACTCCTTGGGGGTAGCTTTAAAGTACAGACATTGAAACAGGACACTAGGGCTGGATAAAGACTAGCCTCCAGCATTGAGGGGAGGACTCTCTCCAGAGGAAGATGCCAAGTGACAAGAACAATTTGCCTGGGAGTCTCACCACCAGTTACGGAGCTGAGACTGGAGACTGGGTACTGTTGAGCACGTGGGTGAGAGAAGGAAGACACCAGGAAGAGAACACCAGCTTGCTGATTGGCTCCTCATCCAGTGTGGTTTCGACAAAGCCGCAGGCATTTTCTCAATAAACAGATCCTTCACTTCTCGGTAAGACAGCTCCTTATTTACATTCAACAACGCCAAATGTCTCTGCTGTGTTTTGTGGGTTGTGTCAAAGCACCTCCTAAACAAGATAAGCCCCACCCATGGTGAATGGATACAGGGATTGGTAAAGCCAGGGGGAAATGAGCCAAGGCACAGGAGATGGGGAGCAGCCCAGGGTAAACAGCCGGCATAGGAGCCTCGAGGTGTGAAGGGTGTGTGCTTCTGCTGTGGTACCCAAGGCTTAGAGACCAGGCAGGTGATGTGAGTGCTGAGTGGCTGATGTGAAGTGGGAGGCCAGGCTGGACCACTGAATGCCACATAGGCTTCCAAGGATAGCCTTGAGTGTGGTCCAACACAGACTCATGTGCTTTCTCAGGCACAATAAATGATGGCCCGCTTTAAGGGATGAGTTTCTAGAAGGCAGACACTGCATACTAGAAATGAAAATCGGACTTTTGGAGCCTAGAGTTGACATTTCTCTCTTAGTAAACCTGAAATGTCTGGAGGGGCTGGGGAAACGGATTACATCTTTGCATTTCTACAGTAGGACTGGCTTGGGAAGGGTACTGAGCAAATGCCTGAGAAATATGACCAGTCAAAATGGGAGAAACCAAAGTCTCCTCCACTCACTCCAAGAGAGCGGGGTATGTCCAGGCTTTGTTCTTACTGTCCTCAATTTTCACAAGTCCTGTCCTTATCCTTCTTCCCTCCCTCCCTTTCTTCCTTTCTTTAGTTCCTGCCTTTCTCCTTTATGGAGTAGACAAGCAGCCTCCATCTCTGTCACTTGGCATGTTGCATTGCGCCTTCTGTGCATTCCCATCAGTGTCAGATTCATTTAACCTTTTAGAGTGGACACTGCAACCAGGCACGAAATGAGAATCTACCGCTTTTGGCATCTCATCTCCCACCACATTACTGGACCGTCTATAGATGTTCCTTTCTTAATGGTTTCCTAAGCAGTTGATCTAAGCAAGGCCAAATTTTGTTCAGAGTCCGCTCTCTCTGTAAGTCAGTCCCCACAGCCAAGACTTTGAGCAGGCCCACTTCTTCCCTCTCTTTTCCCATGTGTCCTGTCACCAGATCACAGGTCTGGAAGTCATAGCCTCTCTGTCCCCTTCTTCACAAAGTTACCTCATGCAGAATGCTGGAGGCAGGGACTGGCTAGGACTCCATTTAGCTGTCCTGAAGTCAGGGGTAGTGGTGTCTCTGCTGGATCTGTCTTTCAACAACAGATGTCCCTGGCCCACCTACATGGCTTTCTTTTCATGTTGCTGAAGATGCAACCCTGGAGCTTGAGCATGCTAGGCAAACCCCACGGCTGACCTACATCTCTCCACTCACCAGCCTTCCTTCTTGTTGGAACTAACCAACTATCCTTTTTGTCAGCCTGGTTTTCAAATGGAACCAACCATATTTCTTTTTTACCTGGTTCTCAGATGTATTGTCTTCTTGGGCTGACGTCAACACACTTCACTGTAATGCACATGGAGGTGTGGCATCTCACCTCTTTCACCAACATGGCTTCTCAGCATCCCTGGGATTGAGAAAGCACACACTGATACTTTGCCTTGTTCGATCTGCAATGCCAACACCAACAACTTCCTCTTAAAGCAACCACTATTTTGTGCCTTCTTTCCCTCCATGGTGGCTCCTACTTCATCTCTCTTCCCATTGATAATCTCAAGGCAAGCTGCCATATCTATCCATATCTATCTATCTATCTATCTATCTATCTATCACTGTTCCAAAGCGATCAGTATTATGCCACACGCTGCTTATGTGTTCTTTCTTTCAATCCTAACAACAACTGGTAGTTATTACAGAAAATGTAAGTGGTACTTTGGGTAGAACACCTTGTGGAGGTAGAGCCAGGATGCAGGATGAGGCAACCTAGCACCAGAGCTAGAGCTTAGACACTATGACTTTGGATTTTGTTGAGATTCAGCCCTTCTGATGATCACTATCTTGCTCATGGCCTTAAATATCATTTCCAGAAGGTGAGTCCAGCTTATGTCTCTCTGAATTGCAAAGCTGCATATGTCTTGATATTTCACCATCAGGTAATATTGTAGTAGTTTGAATGAGAAGTGTTCCCATAGTCTCAGACCATTTCATTCCCAGTTGCTGGTTCTGTTTGGGGGGAGGTTTAGGTGGTAAAGCCTTGCTAGAGGAAGCTGTCACCAGGTGTGGGCTTTCAGAGACCATATCCACACCCTATAGCCAGTTTGCTCTCTTTGCTTACTGATTCTAGGTCAAATGTGAGTTCTTAGTTCTTCTTCATGCTGCCATGCCTGATGCTTTTGTCCACGATAGATTCTTATCCCTCTGGAACCATAAGAGCAAATAAAATCTTCCTTCTGTAAACTGCCTTGGTCATGATGTTTTATCACAGCAATGGAAAAGTAATCAACACACACAGTAATTAAAACACATGTAAAGCAAGAGCTCTCAGCATCATCTCTCATGTCAATTACCTGCCCTTATTCCAGAATCTTCTGTCCAAATGAGTGGCACCATGCCTGCAAAATAGTGCAAACCCGAAGGCAAGGTCTTAGTCCATTTGGCCACTATAGCAACAGATGGCAGACTAGTGTGATGGCTAATTTGTGCTATCAGCTAGACTGGATTTAGCATCACCTAAGAGCTACACTGTCACAGTACATGAAGTGCGATCTAAGACTGAGCAGAAAAGGGGAGAGGAGAAAACCAACATTCATTTCTCTCTGCTTCCTGATTACGATGCGATGTGACCAGCTCTTTTTCATTCTTGCCACCATGATGTCCTGGCCAACCTTTTGTCAACTTGATACAAGCTAGAGTTATCTGGAAAGAGGAACCTCGGCTGAAAGACAATACCTCCATCAGATTGCCTAGAGGCAAGTCTGTTGGGCATTTTTTTTTAATTAATGATTGACATGTGGGGGACCTAGACCACTGTGAGCAGTGCTGTTTCTGGATGGTATAAGGAAACAAATTGAGCAAGCTTTGGAAAGCAAGGCAGTAAGCAAATTCCTCCTTAGCTTCTTGCTGTGGGACAATGGTCTCTTATCCTGTCACTTGTATTAGTTTTAATAAAATGCCAACCAATTGGCCAGTAACCAGGCAGGAAGTATAGGCAGGGTGACCAGGCAGGAAGCAGAGGCAGGGCAATGAGAATTCTGGAAAGAGGGAAGTTTCAGTCTGCAGTCCTGACTCAGAAGCCGAGGACGCAAGATGTGACTGCCTCACTGATGAAGGTACCAAACCAGGTGGCTAACATAGCCCAAGAATAATGGGCTAATATAAGTTATAAGAGTTAATAAGAAGCCTGAGCTAATGTGACAATCAACTTTATAATTAATGTTGACCTCTGTGTGTTTCTTTGGGACTGAATGACTGCAGGATTGGGTGGGACAGAAACCTCAATCAACAGCTTCTGCTTCAGTTCCTGCCACCAGATCCCTGCTCCAGCTTCTGTTCACCATATGCTATGAGATGACATAAACCCTTTTGTCCCCTAGTTGCCTTTGATCGTGGTCTTTACCGCAGCAATAGAA